GGCTGGTTGGCAATGATGGCTTGATGGGCCACAAAGTTGTCAATCGGTTTGGACGACGACAAGCCTGTCGCTTGTCTGATGTCCGCCAGAACCGAAATCCAACTTTATCTACATGGAAAAAAGGGTGGGGAGAATGGTAAGCGTTTTGTAACGGTTGTATGAGCTGATTGTTGTATTTCCACCGCTCCCACCGTGTCTTTCTTCTTCCCATTGAACTTGCTAAATTGCGACGCGCCGAGAGCCAAGAGGGCCAAGAGCCGCCGACAGTCGCCATGGAACTGACCCACAGAGGCGGTCTTTCCTCGACGCAAGAAGCTTGGACGAAAGAAGGAGCGGTCGCAGCGCTGGATCCAACATCAGCCGCACCGTGGAGACTTTTCCGTTTTTCTCGCCCGAGGCAGCAGCTGGAGAGATTGTTTTTTGTAATTTCAAGGCCAGTTGTCGTCGGTCGTGTGGGGGAGTGATGGAGCTCGAAGGCTAGGTGTATTGTTGCTTGGTGGGAAATCAAGGAGGCTGTTTTTGGCGCGGAGTCGGAGGCCTATCTACTGTTCTTGGCCTCCCTCCATCAAGCTACAATCATCCATTTGTTTTTCAAGTGTGCTGGGGCCTGGACATCTGGCGTCGCGACTGGAAGTTTCATGTGGAAACTCAGGAGCGCCATGCCAGGAGCGCCATGCCACAAATCGCCCCCCCCCTTTGTCCACAAGTGATCTTCAGTGGCACCGCCGCCTCCATGTTTGCGGGAAAAACAGGAGCGCCAGCGCTAAGTCCTCCAAGATCACTGACTGCACACACACACACACACCAGTCCACCATTTGATGTGCATGTCCTCTAGCAACATGGGTGTGCGCAAGGGTGCAGCTCATGTGATGTTCCTGCTGAACATCACGCTTTTGGACGTCTCTCCTACTCTGATCTTCAGAGTTAGGAGCGTGTTGGAATTGCTCTCTTGGAGACCATTCATTGGAAACTCCTTGATCGAAGCAGTTCGACACGTCCGATCGGACAGACGGACAAATGTCCGTTTGGTCCGTTTATTTGGGGGATTCCTATGAGTCGGTTTTGCAGGGAATCTGAAAACATGGAATTGTGCGCTTGGACCATCAAACGTCTTAGCGCCACAAAAATCCCATACTGAATCCTGCGGGAGTTCTGTACGTGGGTTTTGTACCGGCCTTTCTGGATTGCAAACATCCAGTAGAGGTTTGGGAAATTTGAGTTTTTGTGCAAGGCTTTTGCTTTGCCCATTCCATGTAGATAACAAGTCTTTTAGAATAGTTGTTTCCTGTAGAGATGATTATTTCGTATTAGACGGATCGGAGATCGCTATGGTTAGTGCCTCTGCATGACAACTTGATGGGTCGCATGTTGGCACGGCTGGTTGGCAATGATGGCTTGATGGGCCACAAAGTTGTCAATCGGTTTGGACGACGACAAGCCTGTCGCTTGTCTGATGTCCGCCAGAACCGAAATCCAACTATGCTCTGTGGTTCTGGGGTATTCTCCCCATGTTTCCATCCAATGGTCATACTGTAGGTCAGACCCAGGTAAGAAGGGTGTTCAAGTTGAATGTAGTGGTGGTGGCATACAACTCGCTTGAGCTTCCAATCAATGGGGTCGTCCTTGTCAATGCCTGACGTGGATCTCATGGTAAGCCATGACACGCTCATATTCACCTTTATCAATGTTCAGGCATAGTTGAATACGTGTAGGCTGAATGTCCCTGTTGCAATTGTGCTTGTAGTTAAGCTCAACAATCTTAGCACATCGAACATAACCTTCATCTTGTGAGAGAAGGAAAGTTTGTCCAATGAGGCCACAATTACCTAACAGAACGTCTTCTATATCTGATTCATGGTCACTAGAATAAACAACAGTAATAATGGTCCTATTGTCTCTAGATTTGATTTTTGTAGGAATTGTCAACTCCTCCCCATCAGATAGATCAATTGAGCTGATTATTGTAGGGAGCGTGAGTTCCTCCCCATCAGGTAGATCAAGACGTTTGTGTAGTGTGATAGGTGATCTAGCAGAGCAGATTTCTGAAGGAAACAAGAAGTTGTCCGTTTCTAGAAATAGAAATTTGTAGGCCATGTGGCAACCAGGATGCTCGGCAATGCCTACTGTGCCTAACATGTGACAAATAGACTCTAGGGATGACGGCAAGAGATGATATTTGTGTTCATGGTGGGTCTCCACAGGAGATCTAGCTAGATAAGCAATATTCCAAGGAAACAATCTCTGGATATCTAGCTTGGGCAACCACTTGAAGTCCATGCGCAGACGTTCCCAGTTGCGTTTACGCAATTTCATTACTGAGTTCAAGTTCTTATACACTGGATTCACTGTCAGGACAGAATCATGGGCATTTGGATCACAAGGCGGTGGGCCTGGTCCTGCAGATTTGTCCTTTGAGTTCCACCTTCCATCCTCAGAATGTGTCTTGCAGCGTGGGCTGCGTCGAGGTTCAGAGGATGACAACTTGTGAGTCAAGTCTATGGGTTTGTTTTGCAGTGGAGTAGACTCAATGACAAAGTTGATCGGCGCTTCAGGAACAAAGAGAACAGATGGTTGCCTGCCTGACTTGTAAGCTTCAAAATCTGGTGGTCTAAGTTGTGGCACATGAGCAGGATCTAAATCAAATAGGCCAGCCATGTTACATTCCAACCAATCAAGATCAGAAGCTTGTCCAGGATGTACTTTGTACAGACCATTTGTTGGCACGACACAGTGGGGTTTCAAAGAAATCAATAGGATCATCTAAGGCAGGAGAATCCTTCAGAGTAGTGACTGTTTCATTACTCTTAGAGATACCTACTCTATTGAATGAACCAGTTTGTTCATCTACAGACCCATCATCCGGTACAGACTTGGCCCATTCATCAACATCAACTCCATCTATGGCTATCTGGTGATTCCTGACCTCTTGAGTAGCTTTACGATACTTGGTTGCTGGGACCAGAGCCAACTTGTCTGATTTGGTCTCTTCACTTGTTACAGAAGTCAGAGTATCTGCATCTTCACTCCTCCCCATGCTTGAGTGCTGGAACTGTGAGAGAAAATCGGTAGTGGGACAGAGAGATGGCCGAGACATCTGACTGTTTATGGACTTGCGCCGGTAGGCCGAGTCGATGTTGGGTGGGCGGGTCGCGCCAGGTCAAAGATCAACTGGAGTTGCCTGGCTAGAGAGCGACGGTTGATCGCTCTCTCATGGGAGACAAGGCGCAGCCAATGTTGACGGTCTTCAAGTGATTTGTTGAGGACGGTTTTGCGGGAGTCACAAAAGGAGTACTGGGATCGTTGGGGGATATCCATCAGGCCCATGGCAAACTGTTTGCGGATGTCGATGTCAATCTCCCGCTTGCGAGCCATGTACCAGGAGCTGTCTTCAGAGTGGGCAAGCCGGTTGGGGTCTTTCCACATGTAGTGCCCGATCCAGATCAATTGTTGGATCAGGCGGGAGGCCCAAAGGTTGGCGGACTTCTTGGAGCCAATGTAGGAGAAATGAAGGGCCTGCAGGTGTCTCCAGTTGGGGGACACTAGGCCTTCAAGGAGGCCCTGGGCCCCAAGCTTGGCTTGGGAGGAGATGGCACTTCGGAAGAGGTGGGGATGGCGGGACCAGGCTCGGACGTTGGGGACTCCCAAGGAAGGCTGGCGGACCAACTTCAGGTATTCAAAGAGGAAGCCTTCGATCTCTGGGGCAGTCTGCTGAGTCTGCATCCATGTCCGGAAGGCCAGATGGCATTTGGACCATTCTGCAGCTGCAGTAGGAGCAGAACAGCGTGGGACATGGAGGTGATCTTCCACCAGGCAGGAGGAGCATCTGGGGCAAGAGCTCTTTGTTAGAATAAAGCAAAATGTGCTCTATCGTGAGTGCCTTTAGCGCTCAGAACAAACTCTCTGCAATCTAAATTTGTAATCGACTGTACAACACTTTCACAACAATAGTTCTCCTGTGTTAGGTACACTTTGAGTGAAATTGTTCCTATTTGATTAATGTTTGGCTTGAATTGATGATTCAATCACAAAAGTGAGTTCAACGATTTTCCCTTGGAAAATCCCTTGTTTACAGAACTCGATTCGACTTCTACGACAATTCTGTGTCAAATGCAGTACTTTGGGACATCTTGTATTATTCCCTACTGCATCGTACACAACATCGATATTCCACTTGTATTGGGTCTTTCCCTTTTTGTGTGGATCCAGATTGTCCGACAGACTTGCGTCCGGCAGACTTGCGTCGAATCCTGACATCACGATCAAAGTCCGATCGCACGTGTCGAAAACTTTGTACTTGAATGGTTTCTTTTGGAACGTAAAAACTCATATTTCGTCATATTCCAAATGGCCAAGAATTTTCCCACACCTGTCATACCGGAGGTATGCTTGGGTGTCCAGCGTTAGAGATTGGCTGGGAGGGCCTTCATGGCGCGTGCAAGAGATAACCAATCGACCTCCCGGATGGACTGCTCGGAGAGGCAGTCCTTGGAGGACCAATGCGCACGAAGGGCAGGAAGAGAGACCAGCTCCATGATGTGAGCCTGATCCAGTCGGGATGACTTAACACCATCAAGGAATAAAGACACAGGTTCATGGAAGAAGCGGGGGTTGGAGGCAGCAGATCAGCCTGTAGACTCCAGCAGGCGGCGGTAGGATTGTGCTTTGGAGTCAACTTCCACATTGCGCTGCTCCCACCAGTCCAGTTGGGAGAAAGGCCGGTGCTTGTCCAGGTGACTGGGGGCTGAATCTTGGGGCATTTTTCACAGCTGGGAGTTTGGCGAAACAGGCTCCTTCAAAAAATCTAACTACAAATAATATAATCATCAACGACACACAAACAAATTGAAGTTTTTGTCTCTCTCCAAGGTGGCAAGAGAAACTGCACTGGGGTTTCTTGCAGGTGTTCGTCCAGAGGGGCAGCCAGCCATCGATCGCTGATAAAGATTGTGGGGGGTAGAACTGAACAGTGCAGGGGATATTTGTGTGGGACTTCCAGAAACGATGAGAAGCCACCAAAGCAATGAGAAGCCACCAAAACGAGGAAAAACTCACATTGCAAAGCGATTCTTTGTTTTTCAGTCATTGCGCAAGAAGGAACCACAAGGAATTCTAAAGTCATCGATCTGCCGGGAGTCGTAGGACCCGTCTGTCCTCTCCTATGTCTGTACACTCTAGCTAATAGTTTCTTGTCTCTTTCCGATTTCCACTCTGAGTATATTTAATTGATGTCATGGCTATTGTACCATGATGATCAATCAACACATCAATCAAATCTGAGTTCTAGAAACCTGCTACTACTTTGAATTCTCGTTGTGGTTTCATAAAGATATTTGAAATTTTGTGGTGCAAAGGAGCAAAAGATTTCAAACAATAAGTGTTTTAAAAGAAACAAATCTTCTATTTGTTTCACGAGGAATGTTATGATTGACATTCTGAAATTTCAAAAGATCTCCGTTCTGTTAGTCGCTTTTTTCTTTTTTTGGGACAGCCATTTTCAACAATCCATGAAATACAAGGCCGAAGCCAAATCCAATTGTTGGACTTGTAATCGCTGTAATGATGCCTGTTGTCCAACCAGAAACGAAATCCAAAGTTTGAAGCTTCATTAAATCCTTTGGTACCAGAACACTTTTCACCACTGCACTCACGATTACGGCGCTTAGTGCTGCTTTAGGTGTCGGTGTCATCACGCTCATGTAAGGCAGCATGAATATCCAAATCAATGCCGTAAACATACACGCTAATTGTGAGGTTGTCCCCGTCATCCTTGAGACTAGACTTCTACTCATGGAACCAGAAACAGGAGCAGAACCAACAAATGCAGCAACTACACAAGCAACACCTTGGGACATTAGTTCCTGTGGTGCACTCCATTCAATTCCATTTTCGCTTTCGAATCCAGATGCAATGCCCATGATTGATAAGAAGTTGACGGCAGCAAAAAGTGTTGCCGAAACAAATAGGAATGGGTATCCCCCAAATTGTTCGGCAAGTGGTGCATCGAGAACTTTCTGGTAATCAAGCAATTTCACAGGCAAAGTCAATCCCAAAATTTTCAAGCCAGTGTCAGGATCCAATTCGGGAATCTCACCAACCACGCCTCCCTCGTAATCGAACACAATGCTATAGACTGTCGCAGTGACCGTGACTAAAATGACTTCAGTGCCAGGCGGAAGTGAATCCGGAAGAAATTTCTTGCCATCCATAACAAACCAAGTACCGATGAGAAATAGAAGTGTGGGAGTCAAGGACCATTCCAAAGGATGAGTTAGACTGAAAATAAATCCAGTAACATTCACAGCTCCCGTTGCAGCTGGCGCTCGTGCCTTCAGTTCCTTGACAACAAAGCTCCAAGATGACGAGCTCGCGAGAAGCCCCATGAGTTGTTTTCCTCCTCTTGAAAACAGCCCATTTGGCAGAGCAGACACCAACACACCAACAGAGCAGCCGTATTTGAAGCCACTTTTTACCGGCTTCGGAACTCCTTGCGCAAGTCTTCCAAATCCCACAACAGCCAACACTACCGAAGCTATTCCAACCCAAAACGAATATGCAGCAACCAACTCAATATATTTGTCTTCTCCGTGTTCGTTGACGAAAGACTCCCCATTTAAATCAGACTTTGCCATCAATGCTGTGATAGAGGTGACCCCCGCATTCATAAAGGGAGAACCAGTGACCATCCCCTGAAGGCAAAGGAAATGTCCCACGATGGAGCAGTAGAAAGACTTTGTGGGTTGCTGGATACGACAAAGCTGCTACAAGTTGGTAAACGAACGTACCCATGCAAGTAGCGGCAGCCCAGCACTAGCAAGTCCATGGTACCCTGAGTATCCTGCCGTTTCACTATACCCAACCAATTGAGGAATAGATGATGCTGCAAGTATTGCGCCACTGATGAGGTCACGAAAAGGGCTACAGTTATACACAAAGAAACTTGGTCAGTGAATATTCAGAATCCAGCGAATATTGGGCGCACCAAATTTGTTGACTTACTTTACCTTCGGTTTACCCATTCTCGCAGATATTTGCACTTTTATGCAGCTAATAGGGATTATTGAACATTTTAGCGACACAACCGTTTTGACACCACTATCAAATCAAGAATTATGTCAGGATAGAGTCGTCTGTCCGTCACACGTAGCACAGTCACTGCAGGTGTTGGCTAGCGAAGGACGGACTGATCGGAACGCCCAAGTACGTATGCAAAGAAGGTACAGTAGCAGGACAGTGGAAAGCTACGTACCAAAGAGGTTGTGAAAGAAGTTGGTGAATGA